TAATATGTTTACGAGTAAGACGAAACACAATGAAGGCAGTTGTCATAGACGTAAATTGCATCTCTTATACGCCCAACATCAGACGGCGACCCTACCAGTGCTGCCTTAGTGCGGCACTGGCGCAGTGTATTGAAAATTGGCTTTCATAAACATAGGAATTTTTATTTTAAAGTGTCGTTTCGTTGTCTATTACCACAGTCCTATTATTATACTTAAATACAGTACCCGAGATTTTTAATTTTTTTTTTACAAATTTTTTTTTATGCTGATAGTGTTTTTTTTTAAAGTGTGCCACACCACAATTGGACAAAAACCAATAAAGACAATTATCATTGTCGTAAGTTGTATCCCTTATCACAATATATTTATAACACATGAATAACTTTCCTATTGCCGCCCAGGTTCATGGGCGGCAGTAGAAATTCCAGGGCCCCCATGCTACACCACTGAAGATGACGCCTCGATACAGGGTAATAAAAGTCCCTAAGTATAAATGTGCGATTGCCACGCATGAAGTATCGAGTTTCAGCCGTGTAACATACCCAGCCAAGTAACTACATTTCAAGTGTTACAATGTTGTAATCGTTTTAGGAATTATAACTTATGGTGTCACTTTTGCACCATTTGTATTTGTAACTTAATTAAGTTTCAATCTAGGGGTGCGTTTATGCTGATAGTGTTATACTATTCTTCTTAAACAGATTTTCCCCTTTCAATCTTTTTCCTGAAAGTGTTAATTGTAATAATAAGATTTACAACATTATATAGGCACTTTTTTTTGGTAATAGTGTAATATTTATTGTAGCTAATTACTTTTCTCTCTTTTACCTATAATTTAATTACGTATGAAGCATTTTGAGACATATGCTTGTAATGAAACGCGAATTGCGAAACTTCACACCTTATGTAATTTGAAATACTCAATTTTCACAAAAGTGCTTTATTGCGTCGTAGATAGGGTATTTTGTTTCATCTAGACATCACTTTATTTTTAAAAGTAAATAATACTGCATTTAGTAGCAGTAGAGCTCCTTGTGAAGGGTTTCGTCCTGGGAAGTACTGCCACCTTACTTGTTTCTGCCGCCAAGCAGTAATGTGAGCATTACTGCATTCCGGTTTGAAGGGTAAGGGTGCTGGTGAAGTTACAGGCATGTGCAACTTATCAACTTATGTTTCAGGGTGACGGGAGAAGTGGCACTGCCCCTTAGAACTTTGCGATTTAATTATCTGGGTGGCACTGTTACTCTATGGACGGGCGTGTCGCTTATCACCAGGCACACGAACTACTAACCAGGCGCATGACTTGCTTGTCACGTCACTTGGTACTACAAAAAATATTTCAAAGATTTGTAAAACTTGCGTGAGTCACCTGGGAATCGAACCGATCATAAATGTGAAAAAAGAACAATCCAGTAAGTCTTTTCTTACGAGAGTAAAGAAGAAGCGGCCAATTTTATTGTAAGGACAGTATGCGACACACGCGATTTTATAAGCGAAGTTTGTAAAATATAATAAGTTAATTCTTAATTGTACCTTAAATAATGTTTAATTTAATTCCTAATTAAATAATTCTTGAATTACAATTTTCTTTTAATAAATTCAAATAGATATGTCAAGTAATGGTTAATTAGTTACAACCATACAACAACAAAACAACAATAAAGTACGTTGTTCAGAATTAAAATTATTGTAGATTTTGAGTCTAATATTTAATGGGCATGGAAATTAATATTCGTGTGCATTGGGATATCCGATGATTGCCGAGGGACATTGAGAAAATAGAGGCACTGTACGCAATTTTATATCGTTATCCTTGTTCTTCAAAATGTACAACAATAGTTCATTACCAAATAAACAAAATAATGAATGACTCTAATGCGCTATCTTACCGATTCAGTATTAAATATTAATAATGGCAACATAGCTTTATCAACTGAAACTAGTATATCACGGGGAGGTTTGTCACACATTGCTTCCGAGGTACTGCCTTGTTACGACCACATGAAATTTTGTAATTAAATTTGATAAAAATAATTATAATGCGCTTTAACTACCTATGTTCGTACTTTTAAAAATATCGGCGTTAGGTATCATTACATAGCTAGGTTTTATTATTTACTAATAAGTACATACATCCATCTCCGTGAGCTTAGACCTGGCATCATTAGATTTCTGATTTATTTTTTTAGGGATTTGGAAATATATTTATTATTCATGAAGCAATATTACAATGTACACAAGTTAAAAACGGAATTAAGACGCATTATTTCGAATATCGATCATAAAAAGATAAGAGAGTCTACGGGCAGCGAACTTATCAAAAGATTGAGATTTGCATACAAGAAGATGGATCACATTTAGGACATTTGATGAATTAATTTTAAATACTGTAGATACATTGGCAGTTTGACGTTTGTTTCTTTTAAGATACCATGTTACTCATAAGGAAAAGAAAAATTTGAAGTCTTTGAATGCAATATTACTTACTTTTAAAATAATAGCTCTATGTAGCAAAATGTCCTATTTATAATATTTACTTTCCCTCCTTCCTGTATATAATTAGGGCTGTACGGTTAGCTATAACATATCATCGATATAATAATAGTGACTGTTTATCCTCTTTACAATCTTGAGATTATAAAAGAAGATAGAGGCTTAATTTTGAGTGGGAAAGAATCTTTAACTCGTAACGTAAAAAGTGAGGATTGCAGAAATTTTCTGAAGGATACTATTCATTATTTCATTGCACTAGATAACTCGGACACCCACGATCCTTTTTATACGACGACAACATTCTACTTTGTCGTAAATAGACAAGTGACTCTGTGCGCTGCATAGATTCATATCGTCAAAAGCACTTAAAATGTCTCGTCATGTGTCTCACTTAGGTATTTTCTGATTTTCCATAATATAATTTTAGATACTCCTGCGCAATACGACAATGGCACTTGATTTTTTTTTTGATACTTTTACTTTTGTCTACAACCTCACGTGATGAAAAGTGAAGACGTGTGCGTGGATAGTATATCCGGACCTAAGAGACGCCTATTTAGTTATATACTTTAAATAGAGATATCTATGTTGTTTCGTTCCGGATTTATCCGATAAAGGTCAACTACTCGTATATACATACATGTAACAGATACTTATGGTTTTCTGTAAAGACGTCTCGCCACGTTTTGCAATAATGATATAACCTGGATTTTTGTAAGGGTTTTTGTTTTCTTGATCACCGGGTGATGGTTGTGGTAATAACCTTAAAAATACCTAGTAAGTAGTTGAATTCAACAATTCTGTTCACAGAAGTGAATAAATGCACATTATTTTTAATGCCTCAGCCGCGTATATGTGTCCAAATGCTGTCGGCCATTTTCAAGCTAAAAGGGATAATAATAATTAATTCAGCCCATCATAGGGTTGTTTTTTTAAAAGGGACGGTGTATCTATGCAATGTTTCCCAAATTTACGGTTTATATTTATCGTGTCTAATGTTTGCTTCGCCGACTTTAGCTTGATGTAATGTTTTTTCTTCCTTGTTTATTATAAAATTTGAATAATTTAAGTCCTAGAGTTTCAGGAGTATTCCAGACTTGATTAATAGGAACTTTTTAGGTTCGAAATATTCCAAGAAATATTTAAGAGCACTTATATTTAATCTTTAAAGCATAATGGGTATATTTAATATATGAAATTTCGTATCTTGTAGATATTTCGTATCTTGTAGATACAAGATACGAAATTTCATATATTAGATATACCCACTGCACTATACTACACTATACTATACTACAATCCAATCACGTATAATGATTTTATAATTTCATATTTTTCAGAGCACTTAAATATTTTGTCTTATCTTTTGTACTCGAGTTTCTATTCGAGTAAGCAGTTTTATGTGCTGTGGATATTTATAAATGCCTGGAATCTATTTACAATTCCGATAATATATCCCGTAATATTAGTAATTACGATTAATTCACTACTACTGCGGGAACACTAAAATCCGTTGCCCACCGTACCGAACTTGCAACTAGAAATCCGCGGGTAATATGTCCCCGATTCTACGAACATCTACCCACAGACCTGAAAAGTGTTAGAAACGATGAAACGTTTTGTACCCGACTAAAAAACCTTTTATTGGATATTGAATTGTACAGTGTCGATGAGTTTCTTTTGAAACAATTTTAATTTTATTTTATTCGACAAGCAGTAGTTATACTACTTTATTTTATATTCATTATTATTATTATAATTTTATTACTGACGATCATAGTTATCCCTTGACATTGTATTTCCAATTGCAATATTGTGACATTGATAACGTGAAATAAACGATTCTATTCTATTCTATTCATACTAATAATGTATGTAGTGAAGTCACTATTTTGGCTTATAGAAACATGTATCAGTTAAAGGAAAAGGAAACCGTAAAGTGTAATTATAATAGCGAGTGTAGAAAAACTAAATTGAAATAGCTGCATATTGCTCGATTGAAACTAAATATCAAAATGCCTGGTACATGATCTAAGCCAACTTTTGTTGAATTATGCACACAATAAGTATAGTGATGTAGTGCCGTCTTTTAGGTGTGTTGTGCATGACCCATAACTTATTCTTAGATTGACCAAGCATATGTCTGTTATTCAATTTATTGTCTTGAATACTAAAGTCCCAAAGCATTATGAACTTGTGACATCACGAGTGGTACTATGGTTGTTATTTCTTAGTGCTATTTACGTAAAAAACACGAAAACATCGTATTACTATTAAGTGTTTACATTTACATTCTATATTTTCTACCTTGTTGCTATTGTCGTGAACACCGAAAAGTCATGGCGGAGCTAATAGTTATTAGTGCTAGTTATTGAACTTAATGTACTCCTTTTGTTAATTTATGCTTAGTTGAGTCAATTATTTATTTATTTTTAACTTTTTTCATGCAAAAGAAATGTTGAATGGTATGCTTTTTTTACTTATTTATATTTTCGTTTTTATTGCAGAGAGCCATTGCACACCAACAACATTACACAACAGGTAAGTTGCAATCTTGACATTACAAAGAGTTGCCACTCTTCTAAAACTTCATCTTCAATCAGAATTTTTTATAATTATTTCGTATTTTTCAAACAAACTAATTTTTTTGCAAGACCTGCTTTTGAAATTCGTGATTTTTTAAGTTTTGTGTTTCTCTTCAGCGAATTTCGAAATTAGAATTTACGAATCCCAGCTAAAACAAAATTTATCTTGATAGTTTAAAAAAATTACGTAGTGAAAAATGTTGCTGTACCTTTTATCTGCCGTTCACGTGGAAAATACTAATTCATTATGATAAAGTGACGACAATTTTATCGTCGAAATGTTGCGCTAAAGACCCTTGAATCATCTAGCTTCGTGTGTATTGTAATTCCGTTAAGTATTATAAATAAAATTTTCCATTATGTTAAGCCAGGGCATTTAAAACATTAAGTAAACGAGACATCGTTAGGTGCGTACTTGCGTTTTAAATATTCTATTAAGTAGAATTTTATATTGTTACTACAAGTATTGAGTTCAACATACCTTATATAACCTTTTAATAAGGGTCAATCCCTTTTAATAATAAAACTGTCCAAGAAGTATGTTCATAGATGGGTAAAATAAATAACATGGAACATTAGTAAGGTATAGGTTTGCTTTGATCTATATTTAGAATGTCTCCGAGTAATGACACTGAACAACTCAATAAAATAAAACACGTGATTCATTTCATGTAATGTCTTCGTACGTAATTTAACACAAGGCAATTCTCAATTGTTTCAGAACCAAGTATATACATATATGTATATATTATACATATATGTATATACTTGTGAACAAAAAAGTGTATTTGAATCATCAAATCAAAAGCTGTTAAGGTCATCGTTACTCACAAATGTGTACGTGTACAAAAAATAAGGAAAACATTTAGAATATTAACACGTTATAACTGGCAACGGATATAATAATATACCTTCCTATTGGTTAAATAAAGACGTAGGTTTTACGTGTATATTGAATATGTTACTTGGAAATATTCACCTTAGTGACCCGTAGCGTTTTTCAATTCAGTTTGCTACTGTTTATTACGCCGCGTCTTTTCTGTTTTTTTTTTTCTTCAAAATATAGTTTCTTATAAAATAATACATAATTCTGTTGCCGGTTTTGAATGATTGATGAAATTAAATACTAACAATGTATCAAGAATTTTTCTCCGTTACTAAACCCATGATTTTTATATCATTGAATTTGGTTATAGTGTTATTTTCATCTGACAAGGTTTATTTATACTATGCCGCGTTCAGAGATGTGACGTCGTCGTTGTCTTTGCAAGACAATTTACTGTTTTAAGTCTTGTGCCAGGTTATAATGTTTTCTGCTTTTGCGTTCAAGTTAATTTCTGCCACGAGCTACTTCAGATAGTGTCAGTAGAAGTAGCACAATTCTTTGAAATTTCACCATATCAATCACTCTCATCCTAATATTTCGCCAAATTATGGTGTTGTTCATTGCTGTCCTGAATTTCTACAAAACGTCATGCGGTTTACCTCAAGATGATAACTAATTAACAGCACGCGTTGAGTACGAAGAATTAAAGGTGTTGTTTTAGTTATTATCAATGGCATTGGGTTTAGATAAGCGTTGATATCACGATATTAGCTAGATGGCAGAAGTGAGAACGTACGCTTCAGAGACGTTTGAATTAGTAGAATGGTAGGTCGTGTGCTCGCTACGCGCCCCGTCGCGCCTCCTCTCTTGTGACCGCTCGTTCGTTCCCTCCCGCTCTCTGCTTATTTTTACTAAGTTAGTATTCCCACGACTGCCGCGAGAGAGTAACGTGTCGCGCGTGTGAGCAGCAAAAATAATTATAACGACGATGAATTGTGACTATTTATTTACTATGCGTTCGAGTGATAATTAGCGTTGAGCAGTTGTGACATTTAGAGGTTAGGAGTTAGCGTTGAATCGGACCTTTAGTATGCGCCGGGAGCACGCCGCCGTATGTTTACGTTGTAACAGTAGGGCACATGGACGAGTCGGTTGGCTATGGTGACGCATTGAGTTAGCGTAGTAAACAAACTTGTTAAATCACAATGGTCCACACCTGGACAACGCCGCGCCGTACATAGCTCACGTCTCTCCGACAGTTCCTCTTAACAACAATAGTTAATTTTATGGTTATAGTTTATAGCATGTTGTTTAACTTCTTGTACCACTTGCATTTCTTAAGGCCATCCCGCAATTGTTATTCGAGGTGATTGTCTGCTAGACTCACCAGTTACGCACATCAGTCATTTTTGTATGTTTTGGTATCTGTGCGAGTAGCTGAGCTTAATCACGTAGACATTTCAAACCACGTTGTTTAGCTATTGTGGGGCAGGTAACGAATTAACAAAAGTGTGCAGGTGGCTAACTCTATTGTGTCCAGAATAATACGTAATTGTGTGCGTTTCGTGTACGTTCAATGTACATCAAACATTTTAATATTTTATCAGTCTTATTGAGCCTATATCTGACTTTGATGAAAAAAGTTAAATATACGATAAATAAAAAGAGCCAAGTCTTTATAAACATTGATCAAATTCCGGAATTGGATTTGAAGTTCGATTTCTTCCTTGAAGGGTGGGTGCGTACAGATCTGGCGAATGCGTCACGAACGCGTTAAATGTGCGCTGCACGCGTGCTGCATTCGTGCAGTTAAATGCACCTCGGCAAGCAAGCATAATACGTGTCGCGCGAACGGCACGCGAACTGATGGCACAACGCTAGACCCGTACGCACCCTTATAATTTAATGTAGGTAATGTCCAACTTCCGTAAATTTATAATTTAAAACCTAGTTAAATACTGTTTGCTCAACTAAAAATATAAATTATAGATCGATGCACAAATGATAATTGATTACCGGTATTCTTAAATTCTTAAATCTGTACGTTCAAGTAGATCGGAGTTTGCAACTATAAATATTGTCCATTCCATACATAATGACTGATGAATGTAAATAAGTTGAAACATCCTTTCCTTTATTTCGTGACGACTCTTATGTGAACCCTTTCGTACAAGTAGTCCTTCGTATCGCATTGCGGCGAAAATAACGTGTGAACATCACAGCACCCTTCTGAACTATGTACCTATTTAACAAACTTTTTGTGACCATTTTAGAGAGGTGACATTTGGAAACGTCTTACCACGTAATATATTATATGAACCCTGTTGCATAATAATAACTAAGAATGTTTTCCTATGATTGCCTTTAATAGAATGTATTTTAAACATGTCGTTAAAAATTGTAGTTGAATGTTATAGTGACATTACAGACGTCAGGTTTACCGTAAACCTAGATTCATAGAGCCCCGTTTTATTTGGTGCGGATTTTGCGGCATTCGAATACAATGTAATCGATAATTATAACTTTTTTATAAAAAAAAATCTCAAACGTTCTTGGAATTACATTTATTTGCCAAGTGTTATCGAAATTGGTTACCGGAAATAGCAAAACCGGATTCACCCTTAGCCTCAATTTATATTGCCGCGGAACGGAATGGAAGCGAATTTTTGTAACGATATTGTACATAGCATAGTGAACTTTAAGGTCAATTGTGTAACGTACAAACTAGATACGAGCCAAAATCTTCCGCGGAATACGCGAGCATTCACGAGCAACTTTTTTAATATCTTATTTACTTTCAGTTTTGTGTTGAGCAACAGCAGCCTAATTGATAGTTTTCATTAAAAAAAAAAATTTTGGTGCCAATATCGAAAGTTACCAAAATGAAAATGCGTTTAGGAAATGAAACTATACTAATGGATTTAAATAGCGTACATTTGTTTTTTCAAACAAACCGACGTTTCGGGCCCTTTACAGGTCCAGCCCGAAACGTCGGTTTGTCGGTCGGTGGAATAAGAAATGGTAAGCCCGTTGCGTTGCGAATAATCAATCAATTTGTAATAGGCATGTGTGATCAAAATTACTGAGCTTGTGGTTACATTACTTTCATTCCTTCTTGGCCTGGATAGTGTTAAATATTCAAACATAATTTTTAGTTTTTCGAGTTGCTGATGCTATTTCGTTTTCATGTGTTTTGTATGATGCTATTTCTTATTTGCGTGCCGTGCCATTTCTCTTTCATTGATGTTATGATATCGTACTGGGTTTGATGCGTTGATATTTCTTTGATGTGTAGTAGGTAACTTCACTATTTATGAAATGTAATTATGAAGTCTTCTATGTCCGATATTCAGTGTGCCTGTCTGTCGATTTTCTACTAAATAATTTTACATGGCAACATCAAAGAGAATATTTTTAAAACAGACTTTTATAAACTTTTCTTCGTAGTACTCTAACTTTACTTTCAATTTGTAGTCACAAAATATTTGTTAATAAATAACTTTTGCAATATTTTTCTTTATTTTAACTTACGATTTGTCAGTTTTTTTAATGCTAAACAGTCAGAAAATTTACTAGAGATTAGTAATACTAAAAAAAATATTTAAAAATGTTCTAAGTTGTTTGCTTTATACAATTGCGCGGATTAATACAAGAAACCCTATACATGCCTCAATGATTAAATGAGAAATGGCACAGAATCTTTTAATGAATTACAAAAACAAGACACTTTTTTATTTCCTGTATTGTGTGTTTGTTGCACATTGTAATTATTGTCACTTCATCGTGTATAGTTATGTAGATGTACACATTTATCTTGGTCTATTTTCATTACATTACATATATTTAGAACGCGTAGGTTTAACCTTGATTTGAAACAGGACAATCGTCACTTAAGTTTAAAAGCTAGGGCGACGTGTAATACACTCACTTATGAAAATGAGTTCTATTTTTGTGGAATAATGAGCGTATTTAGCGTGTGCTTTCATGGTCATGGGACGCCTTGGCGGCAGCATGTCCCTCTTTGCCCTAGATGCACACAGTCTCGTGTATAAAACGCCCTCCTGCTGTTATCAGATAACACAGATTCTGTGTCGTGGTGATTTCTTTTCTTGTTCATAACACTCAGTAAC